GTGTGAAGCCTTGTTTACAGCTCATTAGGCAGTTCCCTTTGAGCCATGATAGGGCTATATATAGAGCTGCAAACAAGCTGCAAACAAGGCTTCCTTTGAGCCATGATAGGGCTATATATAGAGCTGCAAACAAGCTGCAAACAAGGCTTCCTTTGAGCCATGATAGGGCTATATATAGAGCTGCAAACAAGCTGCAAACAAGGCTTCCTTCTCTCTCTCTCTCTGTGGCCTCTTCATGTGCAGAGACCCAGGGAAATCTGAATTCCACCGTGTGCCTTCACAGAGTGTGAATTAACATTTCCCTCTTGGTGTAGTCACACCTCTTCTCTTTAAGAAGCAGCAAGACTCTTCATTATACACCCGTAACAGCAAACGGAGAGGTTGAGTGCTTTTCTGTTGAGAAGCAATGCAGGCCAGGCGGGGATCACTCGAAAAACAAGAAAAGGATCTCTGCGTAGTTAGGAGACGACTAGAAATTCACATGTACCGAAAAGAGAATGGACAGATCTCTGAGTCATAGCCAGATTTTTCTCTCTCTGTAGAGATGGAGATGAGACGTTAACTAAGCATCCCATTAAGCAACATGAGAGCAAAACTAATTCCACTGTTTTGCTTTTACCTACAATCCCACTCAGTTTACCCTTGGGTTGTTTACTGAGTCACTTAGTCTGCAGTTTTCATCGTAGAATTATGGAATAATGGAGTTGGAAAGGGACCTCTAAGGCCATCAAGTCCAACCGCCTGCTCGAGGCAGGAACTCAAATCACAGGATATCTGCCAGGTGATTGTCTATGGTTCTCTGGAATCCCCCCAGTGTTGGAGCACTCACTACCTCCCAAAGTTACTGGTTCCATTGCCATACTGGTTTCCTGTAACTTGAGCCCATTGTTGCTTGTCCTGCACTCTGGGATGACTGAGAACAGATCCTGCCCCTCCTCTTTATGAGAGCCTTTCAAGTCTTTGAAGAATGCTATCATGTTGAGCAGAAGCCACATGGGACACAGGAAATGTCACATATGTGGAGTTTTTACAACTTTCCTCCCCACACCCCCAAACTGTCTACCTTCTAAGTCAATGGTTCCCAACCTTGGGTCCCCAGATATTTTAGAACAAAAGCTCTTCAAAGCCTCCATCTCTCACTGTACTGGTCAGGATTTCTGGGAGTTGTAGTCCAAGAACATCTGGGGACCCAAGGTTGGGAGCCATGGCTCCAGGTCGATCAAGGGTTCTAGAACTTGAAAGAGCCATTTTAAAAAATCCATCTTTTTTCAAAACACCGGAGGTGCAGCCAAAGTGTGCGGCCAATCCAGTTCTTCAGAGAGTCCTGGTTTGATGGGAGCATCGTTTTCCTTGCATCACTTTGGATCAGTTTGGAAACGGTCAAGTCCCACCCCTTCATTTCAGGTTCAGAATCATTTATGAAACCAAAGCACATCCCTGTCCTGTACTATATATATATACACAGAAGTTTTGACTTGGATTCCAGCAGGGGGTTGGACTGGATGGCCTTAGAGACCCCTTCCAACACCATCATTCCAGGATTCTACGATTCTAAGAAGAAAGGAGAGGGAAAGGGATGGGATCTCTCATCTCACTCTAGATCAGTGGTGTCCAACCTTGGCCCTCCAGATGTCCTTGGACTTCAACTCCCAGAAATCCTGGCCAGCAGAGGTGGTGGTGAAGGCTTCTGGGAACTGTAGTCCAAGAACATCTGGAGGCCCAAGGTTGGGGAACACTGCTCTAGATATTTCTTCTACTCTCTAGATATCCAAGACTTTACATTTGGGACTGGTTGGCCAAAACTGTATTTCTCCGCTGCTATGAAAAATTGGGAAGAGTTTAGATGGATGTCTATCTGAAGGCTATTGTCTCTTATTGGGTTCCCCCAAAAAACATTTCAATGCCCACCTGAATGCTGGCACCATGGAATCTTCAAATCAAAACTGGAAAAAAGGAGCCCCCCCTCACTGCACCGTCCGTGGTCCCAATCCAAAAACACCGCTGCACACAGTTAACCCACTTTTCGAAAGTAGAACAGGATTTTTAAAATGCACGCTATGTATTTAACCTAGATTAGCCTTCTGATCAAGAGTCTCTTGATCACTGGCTCTTAGCACAGCAGGGGAGAGCCCAAGAAGCGGAGGAATAAACAAATACAGAGATGCCCTTTCAGCCTTCCTCGCTCTTGAAGTCGGGCCCCCACGAGACCAGGAAAAAAGATTCCAAACGCCTTCTCTTTTAGGCACCACGGGTACACGGCCACGTTATTTAGGGGTTCCCTTCTCGGATTTTCTTTCATCAGCCCATAAGGAGGTGGGACTGATTTTCTAGCGATCTCACCCTGCATAGGATTGTGTCTCCACCCCTGGTACAGCTGGAGAAGGGAGGTGGAAATATATGGTGCTTTAGGCAGAATTTACCGCACCTTCACATCTGGCTGAGAAGAATCCATAATATTAGGTATAGTCAGGGAGAAATAAAGATTGAGGGCATCCAGTGCAATGTTGATGCCCTGCAGACTGTTCCTAGCGTATTTCTATAGATGTTAAATACTACTGGAGGTGAAATAGTATCATAGGTAGACTTCTGGGGGGCTGGCAGTTACCTAGTAATATCTTGGAGTTTTACAGCCTCGCATGCTGCCTGTAGTTTATTTAGTTAGGAGTAACCTCTCCAGGCTGGGTGACTGTCAATCTACCCAGCACAGACTCATAGTTCCCTTCTGCCTCTGCGTTCAGAGACAGCCCTGCCTATTTGCTGAGTTCTTTTTCTAGCATCTGTTGGCATTTAGTAGTCTGTTGAAGTCAATCGCTGAAAGCAGTTATGTCTGTCAGTTTGCTGTTAGATCGGTAGATTCGTAAGTAATGAGCCCTTTTATTTTTTCTCCTACTAACGTGTCAGAGTAAATTTCATAGTTCCCTTCTGCCTCTGCGTTCAGAGACAGCCCTGCCTATTTGCTGAGTTCTTTTTCTAGCATCTGTTGGCATTTAGTAGTCTGTTGAAGTCAATCGCTGAAAGCAGTTATGTCTGTCAGTTTGCTGTTAGATCGGTAGATTCGTAAGTAATGAGCCCTTTTATTTTTTCTCCTACTAACGTGTCAGAGTAAATTCTTGAGACTGATTTTACAATCTAGCATGCTGCCTGTAGTTTGCTTAGTTAGGAGTAACCTTTCTGGGTTGGGTGACTGTCAATCTACCTAACACTAACCAATAGTTCCCTTCTGCCTCTGCATTCAGAGACAGCCCTGCCTATTTGCTGAGTTCTTTTTCTAGCATCTGTTGGCATTTAGTAGTCTGTTGAAATCAATCACTGAAAGCAGTCATGTCTGTCAGTTTGCTGTTTGATCGGTAGATTAGTAATGAGCCCTTTTATTCTTTCTCCTACTAACGTGTCAGAGTAAATTCTTGAGACTGTAAGGGCCATTTAATGAGGAAAAGGGGGGACTGATTTAGAGAATTTGAAGCTATTCTGCTCTGCGAATCTCTGCCCTTCTGCTGTGCAGCTAGAGGATTTTAACAAAATTCAAAACTGTATAACATCCTATTCTTTGGCATTTGCCATATAGATAAGAAAGGAATCACCATAAAACAGTTTTTCCAACAGATGATCTAGGAAGAAATTCTGGTCAATGGTATCAGAAGTAGGGATACAAAGGGATCACAAAAATTCTCTTCTTTAGGAGATCACCTTTCTCCATATACTGAGACAGTCTGTTGAGAATTTGTTAAACCATGAAAACGTTTTCGGCTTGATATAGAGATAAGTGCTTATTCCATCAAGATTTGGGCAACTTGTGAAAAAAAAAGCAATTCTCTGCAAGAAGCTAATCTTTCCATGATGCTTTCATGAAGCTAAGCATCACACAGGCACATGTTCTTGACGGAGAGACTGGTGGATTGATCACAAAGATACAAACCATCTATGAGGTGCTTCCATTTTCCATGCCAAAAAAATCAGGATTAGAATGTAGAGGAATTGTGCCATTTAGCCAGCTATAGAACAAAGGTAAATATTGCCCAATTACAGTAAAAGTTTCAGAAAATGCTTACCGTCAATGTATCTATTAGCATTGATGCTATCAAAAGGAATCCCATGGTCTCACAGGGAAAGAGGAAAAAATGGTAAAATTTTTTTCCATCTTGACCATGAGTGCACAGTGAGTAAGGACTTAACTCTTGAAACTTAAAAAGAATCCAAGTAACAGCAGCGGAGAGACAGGCCTTCTGTTCCATCAAGAAAACAGAGATTGTTTCTGTTCTGCTACTGCTGGGGCCCAGATTAAAACATGTTGAATTTAGGAGACAGCCTTTCTGCACCCCTCAGAGATTACAAAGAAGCCCTAATGTCCTTAAAATTGCTCCACTGGCTGAAAAAGCTTAGAGATCATCAAGGAACCATAAGGGACCACCACCACCCCGGTTTCCTAGCACAGTGGTTCCAAACCTTGGGTCCCCAGATGTTCTTGGACTACAACTCCCAGAAGCCTTCACCGCTAGCTGTGCTGGCTAGAATTCCTGGGGGTTACAGTCTAAGAACATTTGAGGACCCAAGGCTGAGAACCTGTGCCTGAAGGTGGTTTACAACAGTGCTTCCAAACCTTGGGTTTCCAGATGTTCTTAGACTGCAACTCCCAGAAACCTTGGCTGGCACAGCTAGTGGTGAAGGCTTCTGGGAGTTTTAGTCCAAGAACATCTGGGGACCCAAAGTTGGGAGCCAGCATCAGGCAGAGCACCTAGTGGCGGCGTCTTCCTTTCACGGATGGCCAAAAATCAGTTCCACCGTCTCGTACTCTTGGCTCAATACTTTGTATTCCAAAACGAGCAATTCTCTTTAAACCTTCTTATCGGCAGTCCAGCTGTCAAAAGGTTCGTGAAAAGAAGACCTTAGATTTAACATGTTAAAATTAAGTCATGTCTTATGTTAAACGGGAGAACGAGCCAACCAATACCGCTAATATTTTTTTTAAAAAAACTGGTTGGTAATATTATGCTTTTGTTTACCTGATTCGTTTACTTCTTTTTTCCATGCCTCATTTTACTGATGATCTGTATGTTATGGTTTGTGGTCTAGTTATTGTGGGTTTTTTTATTGTTTATACCATTGAAGGCGATGCCAGTCAACACACCGTTGGTTCTCTACGTGCTTACCGCTGGTCGTCAACAGCATTTCTCTGTCCGTCCTGAGAATGCTTCCTTTTACTGACATTCTGTTGCAACATTTTGCTTCGGCATCATGAGACTCGAAGCGTTAAGATTGGCACATCATTAAATCTCTGTTTTTATCCTTACGCTTGCCCGTATCTCAATTCAAGGTGTTGGTGGGAGTCCCTCTTGCCTCTTGCTATTCCAGACGAATGCGTTGAACCTCAGCAGAAAAAAATCCACTCTGCCTGCTGAAAGTGCTCCAGAACATTCAGGAATCCATAGATCTTTAAGGATGGACCATCTTATTAAGTTCTTCTCCACCGTAGGAGGAAAGAGACACCACAAGATGAAACTTCACCCTTAGACTCATTAAGGGCCATCACAACAGACCTCTCAGCCCTTGAGACGAAAACCAAGGACCACCTGAGATATTTTCAAGGTTTCTCATGGATGTTTATGAAGTCATGAGTCAGCCCAGCCTTTGTGACCTCAGCATCAAGGAGGACGTCACAGAGGTTCTGATGACCAACTTGGCCAGGATGGGTGCTGATGACCCATAACAGCCCTTCACAACCCACAGCAGGGAAGAAATGTGCTGAGGAACAGATGCTACGGATCACAGGGACCCCCACCCGTCCCCAGACCTAGGCTGATCCAGTACAAAGTTCTCAGGCAAGCATCCTTATGTCAAGTCAGCATCCGCCCACTGACTCACTCAGAAATACACTTGTCCCTTTAACCATTAGGAGTGCCAGAGTGTTAGGTGTGCCAGATCCCTGTGTAGTTCAAAATCCGGGTATAACTCTTATGCTCCCCAAAACATAACCACAAAGCATAAACAGTTGATTAATACACACACACACACACACACACACACACACACCAACACACATACAGAACAGTCCTCTCTATCAGGGTTCTCTCTTCCATAGTGTTGACAATCCTTTCCATACAGTACGGTGTGTAATGAGCTTTAAAGGTCTTTATGGTCCCCCTGATCTAGACGCTGAATTGAAGAGGTTGTGTTGGGGGGCCATAATAGAGCACCCCAGAACCTTCTGTGTTGAATTCATGCCCTTAGTTCTGGGTGGCCAGAGCCACAGCATTTATTGAATTCTGCTTTATTTATTGAGAGATGGTTTTTATTTATTGAAAAAGAAATATCCGTCTATAACCAAAACCGCGTCGCTCAGACCATGCAATTTGAGGGAGAAGTGTACATTATTCTTTCCTGTTGCTCCCTAAGGGAAAATCACGGCCCCATCAGAATGCAACACACCGAAGTGACATTTGCAAAGGTCCAGCCCTCGTGTTTCTGTTCGTTTTTTTAAATCTCCGGCTGGCAATTTGATTGTTGTGGTTTGCCAAACACCCGTAAAGGCCTTCCAGGGAGCTAACACCGGACACCTGTGGGTGAAATTGCTTTCCTGCCTGGGGAGAGGGAGGATCCGCTGTGCGAAACGAACCTCAAGGTAGAAAACACCCCCTCCCACTGCAGCTTGTGAGTGGGACGCAGGGGCGCCAAAGGCTGGTTGAAATTCACAAACCCATTTGAAGGGGTGCAAAACGCCTTGGTCAGGGAGAATGAAGAGTTTCAATTTCACCGTCCCCTTGATGATGGCGCCGGCATTGATAACGGAGCACAGTTTCAGCAGGAAAGTGTACAATACCACTCTGTCTGCATGAACACTTGTGTTCTGCCCGTTGAGCCTTATAGTGACCCTCCTGGGTTTTTCCCACGATGGGGGCTCAAGCCACAGGACTTGCTGACATCGCAGCAGTGAATCGACTCAGTTTTCTCCCCCTCAATGACTGAGACTCGGAACCACTCAGAACCCACCCACCTCGTCGCTGTCTTACACGGGGGGACAGCGAGCGGTGGACTGCTGTGGCAGTAGAGAAATTAGTCCATACTAGTCTACGAGTCCCATGGAGCAGTGGATAAACTGCAGTACTGCAGTCTAGATTCTGTTCATGATCTGAGCTTGATCCTGACGGCTCTCAGGTAGCCAGCTCAAGTTTGACTCAGCCTTCGGTCCTTCTGAATTCAGTAAAATGAGTACCCAGCTCATGGGCATATTGTATGTGTGCAATGGGCAGCCTTCATAATTTAACTGCAAACTGTTTAGAGAAAGCTTTAAGCATTATGTGGAAGAATAGAAGTCAACAACAACAGTAACAACCAAAACAACATTCACTTGCAGAGTAGCATAGCGCCATAACACGTGCAGGTTTACTCTTGCTTTTAATTTTTGCACAGTTACACAGACACCCGGTCTTGCAAATGTGAATGTCACATTTTTGTTGTTGATTAGTCGTGTCTGACTCTCCGTGACCCCTTGGACCAGAGCACACCAGGCCCTCTCTGTCTTCCACTGCCTCCCGGAGTTGGATCAGATTCAAGTCGGTCACTTCGATGACACTGTCTAACCATCTCGTCCTCTGTCGTCCCCTTCTCCTCTTGCCTTCACCCTTTCTCAACATCAGGATCTTTTCCAGGGAGTCTTCTCTTCTCATGAGGTGGCCAAAGTATTGGAGCCTCAGCTTCAGGATTTTTGAGGCCCATTAAAAACACAACACAACACAACCTTTGCCCCCCTTGCTATAAGAAGAAACATTTGTTTAATTTCCCATTCGCTGTTCAGGATTGGGCCATGGAATAGTTTATATCTCCCAATTAGTGATAAATCATTCTCGGGGCACCAGAAAGCATGGCAAAGCTGCCTTTCTTCAAACACAAAGGCCACTTGTCGCTCAGACCTCCGTTCCTTGCCTTGAGCTTCCTCTTTTCAGAGCGGCTGCCATTTTGTTCTCCTAAAAAAGTTCTGTTCTGAAGTTCCCTCATGAAGCGTAGGCACCTCCTCCTCCTCCTCCACTCGCTGTGGACGACGGTTGGATATTTATAGAAAAGCACCCACAACTACAAAGTGGGAAGCTGACTTTTCTTCGCGCACTAAATTTTTATTTGAAATAAAAGCTCTGTTACAGTGGCTGGAGCAGGGTCGTTAAAATTATGAGGTCACATTGCACTTTTCCATGCAAACCCTCTTTTGAAACTTGAAATGTTTCCTGGCCTTCAAAAACCTCCACATATTCTCCTTGTTTTGGTATATTTGGATATGGTTCCCTAAACCTTTGCTTCTTGAGCTCCGCCATTCTCAGCTTCCAAAAGACCTTCTACTGTCTTGGAAGATGCCACACTTTCCCTTCGGGGTGTAGTTGATGCCCAGAATGGTCTATGATGCATGATCATGCCATATAGACACACTTGAACGATGATTCTGGAAGCTAACGTGGTCCAAGTTTGATTGATACTTTGTATGGTGTCATGAAGAGTCGGACATGACTTAATGACTAAACAACAACTACAACCAAAATAGAAGGCTACCAGAGAATATTTATTTATTTATTTATTTATTTATTTATTTATTTATTTATTTATTTATTTATTTATTTATTTATTTATTTGATTTTTACCCCGCCCCTCTAGACAATGTCTACTCGGGGCGGCTTACATAGGTAAAAACACATCAATATAACATGTATACAATCATTTTTAAAAATACAATTACAATTATAATGATTAATTCCAAAAATACCAGTGATGTCTGGTCTGGTTTGGGTAAGAAACACTGGGGAGCTATTGCTCCCAGTTCCTTATCAACGTTGATAAGATTTGGCTAGAATGATCTAAGGTCTCATACGATACGAGGCTGTTTCTTACATTTCTGTCGCACTTCTTAAAACTCACTGTTTCTAGAATACTCAACTTCCTGGTCTAAAATACGTTGTTTCTCTACATCAATGGTTCCCAACCTTAGGTCTCCAGAGATTCTTGAACTACAAGTCCCAGAAATCCCAGCCAGCATAGCTAATGGTGAAGGCTTCTGGGAGTTGTAGTCCAAGAACTTCTGGGGACCCAAGGTTGGGAACCACTGCTATACATCACGTGTAGCAGGAATTGTAGCATATTTTGCCGTTTAAAGACCCATCTCCTCTACCTTCACCACTCTTTGGTATGTGCCTGCTGGGTTTTTCTGCCGGTTGTTTGCAACGTCAAGAGAAACGTGGTAAGCCGAGTGGCGTCGGTGCTGTGTGTTCTGGGTTGCTGCTCCTCTTGCTGATGAGGCCAAGGGGCTGGCCTTTGGGAGCTACCTAATGTGCTGACCCCTAAACCCAAATTAGGTTCAGCACCACGGAAAGCTCCTTTACAGTTCAGACAGAGATCCAGAGCAGACGGAATGGCTCTGTGAAATCGGGGTCACCAACCTCCTGCAGAGAGGATAGAGGCTAAAGCGAAGATTATATTTCTCAGGAGATAACTTCACCAGAGGAAATGTCTAAAATGTCCCACTTTCTCAGACCCATAAAAAAAAATAGCATGCACTGCGGAGGTTTCACCACAGATTCTTCATTGCGTTTACGATAATGAATGGCAATCACCGCCCACAATGCCCCGGAATAAGGCTCATCCAGAGCACAGTGGAAATACGATTTCCACTGTTTTACAGAATTCTGAATGGGATAGAGCCGCACAGTTTTCTTCAGAGTGTTCACAACAAACAATATTATATTGATATAGGAGCCAATATCGCAGGGAGGTTGGAACCCAGCCAGAACAGCTCTGAATGAGACCTCGGGACCTCTTGGAAAAGGGACATTTTGTTTTATTAGATGTTCTGAGCTTTGATCCAGCCACCCGGAGTGCCACAAAAATTTTTTACACCCTCTGTTTCTCCAACGAGCAAGGAGAGGTTTGCTAAGTTGTGCTATGGGGTTTCATTTTTCTCTGGGCAGGACAAAACCGGAGATGGGACACATTTCAGCAATACTGACTCATTTACAATAAATATAAATGGATGGTCAGCATCTATGTCCTTAAATATCCCCGGATTGTGGGGATATGAGCAGTTTCATGCACCCAGCTTTGGGAATAGCCTTTGAGTGACACCTGGACTTTACGGCAAATCATGCTATGTTGTCTAGTTTGGCCCTAAGGAAATGCCCTAGGTTTGTTCATCCTTCCATATTGGCAGCAGGATTGGTACATGTTTGACTCGTACAGGGATCCAGAGAGAAGACAGAATTTGGTTCTTGGACCCAGAGAAGTTGTTCAGTTGTCTTCTCAATGGATGTTTACGTGTACCAAGGTTTGGCATTTCCGAATATCTAGCTTGCTCTGTTTCATTTCTTTCTTCCCTGGTTTTGTATGAAAGCCACTCTTGACGGGGAACTTTATGGGCTGTTAATTGTTATGTTTCCGTATTGTACAGGGTGTCATTACATGTCAGCGAGAAAGGGAAAGAGAGAAGGATGTGAATTATTTCTCAGAGAAGCAACTGCTCACTGGGTGCTGAGCGGTAAAACAATTACCGATCCATCAGCAGTGAAAGTATTTCCAGCCGTGCGGCGTAACCCTATTTCTGTTCCATAACACA